ATGGTTACAGTCGGTCCAATTCTGCACCTGTGTGGCCTGACATAATCTGTTAACAAAGTCTATATACTGACCCACTTGTTCAGTTTCGCTAACCATTTCTCTCAGGTTAATATATACGACAGTTTTCCATTCAGTGTTGTAAAGGGTGGCTTCTCCTAGTATCTCATAGTAAAGCCCCGGAGACTCGCTGTATCTTTCTATCGAATATTTGTTCTTCGTCAGACCTCGTCACTGGACAAGAAAATATGTGATTCCCATTGCGAATATCCACACGCTGCTTGGAATCATCTGCAAAGGGATTTCCTATCTGTCAAACTTATACTCATTTATTTTGTCTCAGTAAAACGGCTTTAACCTGTTTAAATGTACCTTCTGAGTACGTCTACCCTTCTTGATGGTTGAATTGACCCTATCCAAACTTGTGATTTCGTAAGGACCAAGCCATTGGGCACTCAGTTTTTTGTACCTGCCTCGTCTAACTGTTTCATCATACAGGAGGACTTTATCGCCCACTTTCAAGGTAGTTTCTTGCTTTCCCCTGTCGTAGTATTCTTTACTTTTTTCCTTATTCTTAATTAACCTTTCCCTGGCTACTTGGTGTGCTGTCTGTAATCTGCATTTTAATTCAGCTACAAAGTCATCATAACTGTATTGGGTGCTAGGGTTTTCTTGTAATGCGGTTTGCATGCTCGCCCAGTATGCATACATTAACTCAAAGGGGGTGTGCCCAGTAGCCGAATGTGTGGATGTGTTATACACATATATCGCGTAGGGTATCCATTCATCCCAGTTGTCTTGGTCCCTATTTATATAATGTCTTAAATATCCTTTAGAACTCGGTGACTACGTTCTAAGCTTCCATTACTCTCGGGGTGAAAGGATGTGGTTTCCAATTTTTTTTATCCTTAATAACTTGCTTACGTTTCTAAACATTTCACTCAGGAAATTTGACCCCTGATCTGTTAGGATCTTACTAGGGGTACCTAGTTTCAAAATCACCTGCCTTACAAATTCTTTTGCGACAGTTTCAGCGTCCTGTCTTGACAAAGGTGCCGCTACTAAAAATTTGCTTAATTCGTCCTGAAAGGTTAGGATGTATTTATTTCCTTCTTTGGTTTCGGGTAAAGGCCCTACTGTGTCGAGGCAGCATTTCTCGAACGGTTGACTGCGGTGGTCGTAATCTCCATAGGTACCCTTTTTTGTGGACAAAGTATTTTGTTTACTTGACAACTTGTACATTTCTTAATGTAGTCTTCAATTTCCTGTCTCATTTTCGGCCATGAGTATTTATCTCTTATTGCCCTGTACGTCCTGTTCATGCCCCTGTGTCCGCCTAGATGTGCGTCGTGAAACTCGTACAGAATTTTCCTCTTAAAATCTTCATCTATTTCCTGGTGATTCTGCCCTTCCTTATCTAGTACTACCCCATTTATCCTACTCAAGGCATCGGCGTTGGTGTTCAGTGCTCCTTTCTTGTGTATTATCTCATACTGATATTCCTCCAACTTAATTCTTCACCGCATTAGTCTCGAACCTGAGTCTTTTATATTCATAATCCAGGTGAGGGGCTTATGGTCACTGACAATTTTAAATTTTCTGCCGTACAAATACGGTCTAAAGCGCTTTATTCCCCATACTACTGCCAACAGTTCCTTCTCGCTAGCTGAGTAATTTCTTTCAGCCTGGTTCAAATTTCTGCTGGCCTACGCAATAGGCAAGTCTTGTCCTATTGGGCTCTGGGATAACACTGCCCCCACGCCCTCATTGCTAGCATCTGTTGTCAGTACGAATTCTTTCGTAAATTCGGGGTATTGTAATATTGGTTTTGAAACTAATTTTTCTTTTAGCTTCCGAAAAGCATGTTCCTCATCATCTAACCACTCAAATTTCGCATCCTTTTAAGCAGTCTGTGTAAAGGTGCGGCGATCTTACTGAATTTTGCAATAAATTTCCGGTAATAACTCGCCATGCCTAGAAAACTTTTCAACTGCTTTGTTGAACTGGGGCGTGGAAAGTTTTGCATTACTTCTATCTTTTTAGGATCTGGTTTCACCCCTTCTTCTGTAATTACGTGGCCCAAATAATTCACCTCTGTGCGGAGGAACTCACATTTCTCGGGCTGATGTTTTAGGTTATGCTTCCTAATCCTCCCGAATACCTCCCTTAATTTGCTAGCGTGTTCCGCTAGGGATTTGTCATAAATCACGTTGTCATCCAAAAACACAAAACATCGAGTACCCTTTAACCCGCACAGTACATTATTTATTACCCTCTGGAACGTTGAGGGTTCCGTTTTTAGACCGAATGGGAGACTTTTATACGCCCAATGTCCATCTTTAGTGCTGAATGCGCTTTTCTCTCTTCCCTCTTCCCTCAACTCTATTTGATGGTACCCCATTACCATATCCAAGCAACTAAAGTATTTTGACTGCCCCAACTGGTCTAGTATTTCCGTTATGTCCGGAAGTGGATACGCGTCACCTATTCTTTTCTCGTTCAATTTTCTGAAATCCATTACCATTCTCCATTTTTCCACCTGCGTCATCTTTCTTGGGTACTAGTAATAACGGACTATTCCACGGGGAGTTGCTTTCCTCTATTACTCCCTCTCTGAGTAACTTATCTATCTGCTTGCCAATCTCAGTCTTCTGCCCCTCGGGTAATCTGTACGGCCTTGTATTGCTTGGGCTAGTGCCGGGCATTACATTTATTGAGTGCCGTGCTGCATTTGTGCAACTCAATTTTTCCCCTGATAAATAAAATATATCTTAATAGTCTCTACACACCCTTTCCATGGTTTCCCTTTCTTCTGGGTTTAGGTGATCCAACCTTAATTTCTTCAAAACTTCCTCTATTCTATCTTTCACTTTTGTTTCCTTTACTGCGGCTACGGATCCTATCGGTTCCTTGGAATTATTTTCTTTTTCCTCCCTTTCATACGTCTCCAACTTCACTATGGGTCCTTCTGTTTCTACTTCTTCATCCCTAGTATTTAATATACTAGTGATGGCTTGATTACCTGTCACCCGGACTAGTGAACTAGCTAGATACACTCCTTCAGTTATCTCGGACTTCACTATTATTCCTTCCCGGCCATCGGCTACATTTTCCACCTGCAATGCTACAATGGTTTCTGCTCTCTTGGGCAAAGTCAATTTTCTACTTTTATTAGCTCCCTGAGCTACCTCATTAGTTCCCTGAACTAATTTACTACAGAATATTCTCTCGGTCCACTCTTCATTATCTATCCTGAATGTGACAATGTTCTTCTCGTAACATACTTCGGCCTTACTATGTTTTAGAAACTCTCTTCCCAAAATACCATCGTATTCTAGCTCTACCTGGTGACTTACTAATTGGAACTGAAACGGAATTTCTAGTTTCCCATCGCAGATCCTTAACTCCACTACACCATGCGTTTCTACTATAGCTCCCTTTAGGCACTTCACTGTCACTTTCTTCTGGGGGTCCACCTCGGTATCTCCCAGAAATGTAGAACTCTTTACTAAGCAAATATCAGCTCCTGTATCCAGTAAGAACTTTAGTTTCCCTTTCTTACTTTCCTTTATGTTTAGTTCTAGATATTCCTCCTTGTTACTACTTATGCAGCCTACTGAAACGAACTGACTGTCGGTTGACTGCTAGCTGACAGCCCCTTGTCGTTTCCCGACGTTTCCACATTTTGGTTCGTTGGTCTTTTCCCCCTTTTTCCGGAATTCTTACATTCCTGGCAAAGTGGCCTTTCTCCCCGCATGAAAAGCATACAATTTCTAGGCTTGGGTTATTTCTCCTTACGGAAAACTGATTTACCCCAGTTTCCTTTTTATTTCACAAAAAGCATTTGCTACTAGCGTGCCCTGTTTTCTTTTGCAAAACGTGCACTGCACCGAATTACTACCGTCTTGGCACTTGTACTTTTCTACTTTTGAGTTAATTGCGCTTTCTTCCTCCAGAGAAGTTTCCGCTTTCTTGTCGAAATCGTCCTGGTTTCGACTACGCACTATAGTCTGTATTCTGTCCGAATGCAGTCCCTGGATGAAACATATTTCTTAAACGGTCTGATAGCGTTAAAATTCCGGCCCTATCTCCTGCTGTACAATCCATGAGTGCAGCTTCTCTGAATTTTGACCCCAGTGATTAAATTTTTTGAATCCATTCCGATACGCTCTCCGATTTTTCTTGTTTGGCGTTAAACAATCTATTTGCATGAAACTCTAGCATACGTTTCTCAATGTATGTGTTCTTTAAACATTCCCTTAACTCCTCCCAGTTTTCTAAATGTCTGTGCGTAATGGCTAACTTTGGCTCACCACTTATTTTTGTCAAAACAAACTTATATAATCGATCCTGGTGGGTTGGATTTATCACTTCAAACGCCGTATCTACATTTGAAATAAAGGTTAGAATTTCACTTTTCTCACCCTTAAACGGTGTTACTAACTTGAGTGCTTCGCTCACGCCAATGTATTATTCCGCCATGCTATCAGTACTATCTGCTTCTATAGTTTGGGTCTATTACTCTGGGCCCTGGAACTCATAAACTTTCAGCAAAGACTCACCGTTACAGATATCTCTTGAATCGATGTTGTCCGGAGCGGTCTGCTTAGTCTTTTGGCGTTGGCTCGTGCATGTCTTCCAGATATCGGACTCGATCCTCTGGATGCCCCTGTCTCCTTCTCGTTCACCGGCTTGGGTCTGCTAAACTCGGATCTCCTCTGTGAAAGTTTTTTTTTTTGTTTAATTAGTATCGCTTTTCCACATAACCCTTTCCCTTTGTTGCTCCGTTCTTCTATTTTCCGGAGCCCAACCTTCTGCTTACAGTCGGCAGTAGCTTGTTTATTACAGTCCTCTCTTCTTCCACTTCTTTCTGAAGGAATTCCCCCTGCTCAGTTAATGAGCCCTCACCCTGTCTTCAACTGCTCAGTTAATGAGTATTCAATAAACAGGAAACTTCTTACCACTTGGTGACTTCTTCCTCCCGGGATGGTGACTGGTTCGTATCACCTCTGCAGCTTAACACCACGACTGACACAAAATTGTTGTTGCATCCCTGGCTGGGACACAGCGGTTGGTCGAGTGGTTCCCTTGGAGCTAGATCGTTGTGTTTCAAAGTATTGCAGCTGTAACTTAAACAGTACATTTATTCACATGAAAATATACAAGTTTACAGTCGGATTAGGACCAGTTGGTAAGAGAGTGTGCCCTGTCTAAGCAAATACAGGACTGACTGTTAAACTGTGGCAAGGCCTGCCTCAAACATAACACAGTTTGCCCCCAGATTAATCAGTGCTCTAGTGCGGAGAAGGGTGCGTATTTATACAGGTTCATAGTGACACCCTCCGGGTTGTTTGTCCTGGAAACTTCCATATAGTTCCCTATGGTACAAAGAATAATAACCTTTAGAAGCTTTCTCCATCCCGGAAACCTGCAGTTGTGTACTTGCACTTGTTATTGCCATCACGGCCGGAGGCATGTGGTCTTCAAATATTGACCCGGTTACTAGCGATAACATACGTTGACACCAAGTCTGAAATAACAACTATAGAGTTCCGTTTACACAAGTGTTACAACAATATCCTGTTCTTAGGTATATACTATTAATGTGAGGAATGATGAATTATAGGGTTTATGCTAATAATTAATTAATAAAATGTCCATTACCTTGATAGTTTGCGTTTTCGTACTCGAAGTTACGGCCTTGGCCACTGTGCAACTCTCGAGGTATGCCGAAGCGGCAGATGAAGTTGGCAACCAGAACTTCCGCTATTGTTGAAGCCTCCTGATTCGGGATGGCGTACACTTCCGGCCACTTGGTGAAGTAGTCCATAGCGATCAGTATGTATCGATTCCCTTGGTCGCTTCGTGGGAAGGGCCCTGCGATATCAATGGCTATTCTCTCGAAGGGAGCACCGACATTATACTGGTGCATTTGCCCACGATTCCTGGTCCGCGGTCCCCGACTGGCTGCACATGAGTCACACTGTCGACACCATTTCTCCACATCGGTTCTTGCTTGGAGCCAGTAAAATCTCTGTCGAACTCTATTCAGAGTTTTGTTGACACCGAAGTGACCTCCTGACGGTCCACCGTGCAGTTCGCTCAGAACGTCCTTCACCCTGCTTCGAGGAATAACTACCTGGGCTACTTGACGTCTTCCGGTGACGGATTCCCAGTCACGCTCTAGTACGCCGTTTCTCACAGCGAGCGATTTCCACTGGGCCCAGTAGCTTTTGTACGTGGGACTCCGATCCGCGATGTCCTGCCATTCCGGTCGTT